CACGGCGTTGTTTCAAAAAGACTCATGTCTTCCATGCTGTCATGCAAGCTTTTGCAGGCGGCTTAAAATAGCGGGGGGGGCAGCCCCCGCCATTTGCAAGCACGATGCTCGCATGGTTGGCTTACAAATAAAAATCCAAAAAAAAACACATGGGGCAGCCAAGCAGCATGCTCGCATGTTTGGTTGTAGAAAATCAAAGCGTCTATGTATTGGTTTAAAGCAGCCACAGGACCAGGGGACCAAAGGACCACGGGACCGGGGAACCAGAGGACCAAAGGACCAGGGGACCAAAGGACCACGGGACCAGGGGACCAGAGGACCGGAGGACCAGAGGACCGCAGGACCACGGACCGCAGGACCACGGACCGCCGGACCTACTACTACTAGTGCTACTACTCTGTCTACAAATATTTTTATGATGCTTATCAAATTTTTTCTTGATGCTTATCAAATTTTTCTTGATGCTTCTCAATTTTTTTGATGCCTATGACACCCAGAAAGGGACCCTAATTTTGACAGCCACCCACATCATCAACAGTAACAGTGGTCATCATCATGCTCTGAGCCAAGACCCCCAGGCTCCGACTCCCTGCCGGCGGATGCAAGGACCCACAATGAAGAGCTCAATTTAAGAGGCGCTTCTTAGCATCGCTGGCAGATATTACTTGTAAGCATCAGAGTTGTCGGTTTTGCTGGCCTCATTACTACTAGAACTTTTCCTAGTAGTACTATCACCATTTTTTAGCTATCGGTATTGGCATCGTTACCATTATTAATATCATTATCATTATTATAGCTGCGCTTTCTACGATGACGCTTCCCTATTCCTGTGAAACCCTCGGGTCAGACCTGGAGCCACGCTTCTCCATCTCCAAGACGACGTCCATCCCCGACCTCAACTTCTTAGTCTCGTGTGCCCTTAGTAAGGGACCGTATTACTTTTAATCGAAGCCTGAAAAGATCGCTGATAGATCCCCTACAGCCAAGAAGTTGTTGCACTAGAATGTGAAAAGTTCTAGAAGGGTTTGGGATACATGCAAGAATAAGCTAGCCCTAAAGCCATAATACAATATGCCCAGCACCCCATCTTAATTCCTAAAGCCCCTGCTACACTTGACGCAGAGTGCTTGGGGATGCAAGCTCGGCGACTAAGGCTGCAGCAGAACTCGTCCAAACACCACGTGCTTGTCATCCAGCCATGGGGTGGCAGCCAGGGTGATGAAGAACTGCCAGAAGGGTTTCTTTTGTGTTGAACCCTCTTTTCTCTCGCCCATGTCTGGGTTTGGAACCCTATGAGGCCTCCGAGCAGAAAGCAGAACTCCACTACGACTCCCCGTCCCCGCGTGTCCCAAAAAGCGCGATAGGGTGCCCGAAGCCCCAAAAACGACCTAGGCCCCAACAAAAACCCTATGATTCCCTGAAGAAACCCCAGAAGGCCCCAAAAAATAAAAGCGCTGGGCCTGGGAGCCGTTGGAGTTCCGACCCCGGTTCGCCATGGACAGCAGACCCGGCCTAGGTAACGATGTTAGCAGTCATACTCACTATAACAGTAATAAGAATAATCATGATGAGAAGATACAAGAAGAATCACCACCACCGTATAATCATAGAAGCAGCAACACTATCAGTCACAATCACAACAATAGTGGCAACAAGACGTAGAATAATTGAGGTGCAAGGGGCCTGAATGGGCAGGGAATCTCATGACCATATTGCGAAGTTCATGTCGCAGCCCCCGCCCTAGTGATCCGCGGAGATCCACCCTGGGTGCCGAGCTCTGTGTGTTGGACGCGGCCGTGCTCCCACTCGTCCCGGAAGGTCTTGCCATAGATGCTTTCGCCTCCTGGGCTCTCGCGAGCTCAGACTCACTCAGAAAAACGTTGCAGGCGGAGTGTGGCACGCAAGAGATGAGGTCCTCTTCCATTGCCGTGGGTGATGTCGCCACCCTGGCACATGAAACCTGGGATGATCCTGCCAGCACTGTCCAAGGGTCCATTAGGCTACCTAGCAGCAGACTCCCACTCGGGCATACGAGGGAAATGCCACAAGGTCATACCACAAAAGCTGCTCGAAACACTCGGCGAGAGAGCTGTGTTGAACGCAAGGCTGATGACGCCTTCCACCCATTCTAAACTCACCCTGCCGGGCGGCCTAGACAGCTGTAGCATCCTACTTACATCCTCCTCCAGGCCGGGTAGAAATCAAGTTCGAAGGCCTCAGAGAAGTGATTTGAAAGAACTCGAAGCCCTCAACTCTTGACGCTTCAAGCTCCGATCTTTCGTTCGAAGACGGCTTGGCGTGCAACAGACAGCCTTGTTATACTTCTCCCGGGAGTAGTAAAGCTACCAAAACCTGACCCCGAACATCTACGTACATTGAGATGCAGCCCACACCACCCTGAACTTCCTGAACCCGAAACCCCAAGGCGGGTCCTGTGGAAGGGTGAGCCCTTGAAGTGACGAATGGATCCGGCGAGACCAGGCCCTGTGGGGTTGTCTTAGCGAGGGCTCTTTATGGCAGATAGATAGATCATAGGGTGATGTAGGCTGTTGATGCTTTGAGGGACAGTGGACAGGGCTGTGTAGGGGCTTGCCGGGCATTTGGTCGGGAGTGTCTCTGCAGCTGATCGTTCTGCTGGTTCTGGTCTCCTTGGAAGTCACTGATGCGGCTCCCGGTGCACAAGCAGTTTCCACACAGTTGAAGTCATGGTACCGGTTGAATTCCTAGCACCATCTTCTGTCAAAAGATTCTTCTTGCTTGGCGCGAGCTTTGTAAGTTCATGATTTGTGGACCGCTTCTCTAAGCTTTAGATACCTCTCCTTCCAGGATCCATCGGAATCTGCAGCACACGCTGTCGGAATGGATTGCTTCGGCTTGGGCCTGATTCGCCGGTCGCCAGAGCACGGAAGTTTTCTACCGTCATCGGCGCCACCTCCTTGAAGAGCTCAAACCTCGTCATGGCATCCCGCACCACTGAAGTTCCCAAGATTTTCGAAGTTGGCAGTGGGATGCAGCTAGGGGCGACATGCTGGTTCCCCCGCTCTCGAAACCTGACGCTCACCATCGCCATACGTCGGGAACTGTGCTAGATGCCTGCACTGAGTGTCCACTTGGGAAGGGAGGACAGGAAAGCTGGAAATTCGAGTCCAGCGGTTCCTCGGCAGGTTTGACAAACTTCAACATTTTAGAAAGGAAGTGCGTACAGGAGGAGCTCCTTCCAAGCACATTTTCGCCTGAAATATGCGCGAACTTCGCCCTGACCTCACTCCAAATATTGTTTGAAGAGGCGAACTGCGCATTTGTTATCCAGAGCTTCTTGCAGCCAGCTTTCATTGTACGCCATTACCATTACCATTACTACAGTTATTTACATAATGACTTAAGTAATAAATACGTAAAACCTTGCTATTACTTAGTAGTAGTGGCAGTAGTAGTAGTA